ATATATATATATATGAATATTCAATATTTTATGTACATTAACTTTTGCTCCATTTGCTGATAGAAATAATCATCACATTAATTTAATGTTTCCAAACTGGAAAAGGTAAGAGACAGTACTCCTCACCAGAAGCCAATCAGGAACTGGAAGATTACTGTGACCAGCCTTTGTTGAGCCAAAATAAGCTGGTATCAAAGTGTTACTTTAAAAATAGAACACTGATGTTGTTCCAAAATAAGAAAGAGCGTGTCTACACTGCAAGCCTTTATTTCGAAATAATGTCAAGATGGAAGACTTCTTACTCCAACTCCTGTAACCCTCATTTTACGAGGAATAAAGGAAGTCAAAGGAAGAGAATTCTTCTTTTGAATTCCTGTTGTGCAGACAGTGCCAAAAGCTATTTCGACTTAGCTACGTCAATTGCGTAGCTTCAAGTTGTATAGCTTATTTCGGCTTTAGGCCTGCTGTGTAAATGTGCCCTTACTGACTTTGGCAGAAATGTAGGTACTGAATGCCCATAGACCTCCAATAGGCATTTGAAAATATACCTCCATCTTAAGTAAGAAAAGTTTTATTTGACAATATAACTAACTCCATTTCATCCATGGCAAGATCCCTAGTTTAGAGAGCTTCTGATACGTTGTATGTTGTTGATGCTAGTGAGGGGCCTAGGGTTGCGATGTCTAGCTAAGCTAGCACCTATCATAAGCAGTTTATACTAAGGCAAAGTTCTGGATGAAGTGATATAGACGAATGTAATGCCAATCTCTTTCCTAAACAATTCAAGGACCCAGAGGCCTTCCTGTGAAGATAGGCCACTATATTTTGAGGCCTCGCAGTCTGAGAATATAAACTTGGTGAAAATATGAACTCAGTGATTGTTTAGAAAATGATTCTTGGTATATATTAGAGATTCTAGAAAAAAAATTCAGAAACTTAACTAGTAGCTTGATACTAGCTGTATGCTTTATTTTCATGAGGAGACTTAACTCCACTTGTCCTAGTTGGGAAAAGTACCAATAACACTGTTTCCCACCCCCCCCCCCCCCCCCTTTTGTCCCCAGGACTTTGAAGAAGGATGTTTTCTGCTTACAAAATGTGATGTAATTCAAGTGACTCCCCAGGAAATCTTAGTTACCGAGAAAGGAAATTCTGCAGCATCTTTTTTGGCAGCTATGTTCAGGCCTTTTATGGAAGGTTACCAGGTACACAGTTCTTCACAAAGTTATCATATTCTCTCTTCTATCCCCCTCTCATAAGTTCTGTGGGGGAATGGTGTGAGTCATGGTTCCTCTATGGTACAAACACTAAGTAATAGCATGGATGGGAGTGAAAGGGAGAAGATACATACATTGTAGTAGTAAGTTTTATTTAATGATGTGAAGAGATTGGTTCCCGTTCTTGACACAAATTTTTAAAAATTACAAGGTAATTAACTTCTAACGTGGTCGTGCTAAAGTTCTGCTGACAGGCTAGTTGGAGCTGTTAGCCTATGTAAATTAATTTGCATGTGAGGTTCCGGTGTTCTAGCTCTGTGAAGTGCAATTCTAAGAAGAGAAATCCAGAACAATAAATACCTTGCACTATTTAGATCCCAGCACAAAGAAGTGCCCAAATAAAACATAAATGAGTAAGTTTTCATCCAAAAGAAAAGGAGCCTGGTTCCTTTAGTTCTAGTCCACAACCTTGCATATCATTCCCTCTGGATTTATAAAACCCACTTCTCAGGAATCTGTCAATGGGCCAATTGCCAATATTTAAAAGGAGGATTTCTTTAGCATAGTATAGAAACTGCAGAAGTGCCTCCCCCACGCCCTCCGAAGCCTGCCAAAGCTAAATAACTCTTTAAATTTCTTAAGAGAACAGCAGAGGACAGCAAATTCTCATCACTGTGCAACTGTCAGTCATTGGCTGGATAATAGAGGTCAAGGTCTTCCACTGACTCGTTATTGACCTAGGACCAGTTACTTCCAGCTGTGAAATGGCTGTTGCTGAAAAAGAATGTCACTTTTAACAATGAAGCAACTTTTCAAAGACAAGGATCATAAATCAGTTACTAATATGATTTATTCAGTCAGTTTTGTTTTAAATACTAAGATTCCTGTTATGAGCACTCAAACAATATTACACTTTTCAAAAGTTTTGATAGACCTCTACCATACCTCCCCTCAGTTGTCCCTTTTCTAAACTGATCATTCTCAGTCTTGTTAACTTCTACTCATACAGAAGCTAAGGAGGGGTATGAAACATTTTTGTTGTCCTCTCTGTACCTTTTCCAATTGTAATACCGTAGATTCCAGCGTACAAGATGACTTTTGATGTTAAAAAACATCCCCCAAAAATTGGGGGTCGTCTTGTACGCCGGGTATACATCCCAGGCCCGCCTGGGATGCCCCCCCACCGGCTTCCCCCGAGGCTTTGCAAAGCTGCTGCGGCTTTGCTCCCGGTGCCTCTGGTCTGCTGGGGACCGTCTCCAACAGACCAGGGACACCGGGAGCAAAGCCGGGGAGGCGGAGGGGCGCTGGGGTATAAGACGAAACCCTATCTTTTAACTAAAAAATTAGAGGGTCGTCTTATACGCCCAGTAGCCTTATACGCCGGAAAATACGGTACATTTTTATTAGGCTGAATTAACTATATCTTTCAAATTAATTATTTGAATGATATGTTATTAAAGTCCAATTCAAGTTCCAGAATAGGAGGAAAGCCCAAACACTTTTAAATTTTATTTTTTAGATAATCTGCCGATATCTTTCAAAAGAAACAAAAGAGACCTTTACTGAAAAGCAGTTTATACTTGGAATCCGTAACTTTGCTTTTCAGCTACTTGAGACAGGTATGTATGCTTTGTGTGGTGGTATTGGTGCAGTAACACCTTAGGTGTGTAATGGATTGAGTAATTAATCACCCCCTATACTTTCTCTTTAGGAAGTACTCAGTGTTATGAAGTTTTGTCTTCTGACTTGCAGAAAAATGCATTGGCAGCTTTTGTACGACTAAATGTAATGAAGAAGATGAAAATGTAAGTAATATAAGAGACACAAATGGGTATACAAGAATATTATTACTAAAAGAACTTTGCTGGGGTCTGGATTCAAAAGTTGGAAAGTAAATGCAAACAATGTGTTGTGATAATAATTCTGAATAGCTCCAAGGAGGAGGAGATCTAACATAACTATCAATTGCAATGAGTTGTTGTATGCTGGAGATATTTCTGTTAGTATATCATCGTTCGCATACAAGACCATGGGGTTCTTTTATCTGATACCTTTAATGTTTGAACTATGAAATACTAACAATATAGGACAACCCTGATTTTCTGAACTTGAGCAAACTGAAGTTTGATTTTATACTCTCCAGTGTCATGCTGAGTCACAAAGCTGGCATCTTCTTATGTGCCAGCTCCCCAGTTATGGCATCTCTTCATTATATATTAGGGCTGTGTCTAGACTGGCACGTTTTTCCGCAAAAGCATCTGCTTTTGCGGAAAAACTTGCCAGCTGTCTACACTGGCTGCTTGAATTTACGCAAGAACACTGACTTCCTACTACTGTCTGAAATCAGTGCTTCTTGCGGAAATACTATGCTGCTCCCGTTCGGGCAAAAGTCCTTTTGCGCAAAGCTTTTGCGCAAAAGGGCCAGGGTAGACAGCTCAGATTTGTTTTGTGCAAAAAAGCCCTGATCGCGAAAATGGCAATCGGGGCTTTTTTGCACAAAAGCGCGTCTAGATTGGCACAGACGCTTTTCCACAAAAAGTGCTTTTGCGGAAAAGCGTCCGTGCCAATCTAGACGCTCTTTTCCACAAATGCTTTTAACAGAAAACTTTTCCGTTAAAAGCATTTGCGGAAAGTCATGCCAGTCTAGACGTAGCCTAGGATTATGGGATCTGAAGTAAAACATTTACAGAGTTAATTAGCTTAAATCTTTTGACCCCATTTCTTTATCATCTTGAGGGTTTTCCCGAAAACCTTTGGATAAACGGGATTCTGCTCTGTTTGCATAGTTTTTTTTGAAACACACTTAAAATATCTAGGGTTTTTTAATCTCTTTTTTTATTAAAATGGAGACACAAATGGCTATTACAGGCAATGTAAGAAGTGGCTTGTTTTGACTGTATCATAGTGTTTACTTTCGCTTTAGCGTTGCAAGTTAAATGACTTGAATATACAGTGGCCAGTATTTCTAATTGAGAATAATTTTTACTGGGGTTACCTGATAAAATATCAAATCGGCTAATGCTTTAAAATACTGCACACATACACATAAATGGCTTCATATTTTAAAAATTTCAAATATATTATAGAACGTCTTGTGATATTTGTTAGTGGGGCAAATAATTTGCAATTAACTAATTACCTGGGAAATTTAGCCCTTTTCCCTTTTATGACTAGTGTGACAAGTTCCCGTGAACCTCTCCGGGCCAGCCCCGACTCAGTCCGTCAGGCACATGGTCCCGAGATCTCTTCTTTACCAGAAAAGAAATGAAAAATTCTGTATCTCCAAGTCACACCCCGGAGGTCCGTTCTAGGCGGGTCTCCGGGGCCTATTAAGCGCTGGGCCTGCCCCCTCCCACTGCGTCTCGGAGGGGAGCTCGGGAATAATGGCCGGGGTGGGGAAAAGGGGACTCGGGCCCACCCTCACTCAGAGCCCCGACCCAGGGCCCTAGGGCAGAGAATTCTGTCCCTGCTCAGCGGATGGGGCAATAGCCCTAAACGAATCCACTCTCGGGTTCCGTGGCCCACCCCTGGGTCGCTTCTTTCCCCCGCCCTGCAATTAGTTCCTCCTTGGCAGGGAGCCGGACTCACCACTTGCCTCTCCCCCGACCATAGATCTCGCCGGTCCCTATTCCCCCTTCACCACTCTCTGCTCCCCTCCCCCTGCGCCGGTGACATCCCACCTTTTAAATCCCCCCCCCGTGCCACCGTCACGTGCCATCGCCCCCTTTGCGTGCCCCGGCACACCCGGCCATGCCATCCCTGCGCTGCGCCGGGTGTCGTCACGCTCCAGGGTCTCTGGCAGCTTCTCTTCCCCAGCCCCCATGTGACTGCCGGCTGTACACGGCTTGATCCTCGTGGCGCAATCCGGAGTCGTTCCAAGTGCGGGGTGGCAGCGCCCCATCACAAATAGTCTGTTAGTAGACATATTTTCAGAAACATACAAGTCACCCAATGTCTTGTGAAAAATCGTTCTTTGTTCAGTCATCTTAGTTATGTAATACCTTAGTTCTTTGGGTGACCTTCCAGCTCAAATTTCAATCAAGTCTGCCAACAAAGTACTTCTGGTGAGAATGCTGATGTACAATAGGGGTGCTTTCCTACGTCACTGTGGTGTTTGTTGAGGATGAATTGGTTAAGACTTGTAGAGCGCTTCACATATTATCTCAGTGTGAGGTACTGTTACTATTGTGGTATCATTAGCTACAAAAAAATAAATATTTGAGGCACATCATCAGCTGAGATAAATTGGTATAGCTCCATGGAAGTCAATGGTGCTTTGATGATTTATACCAGCTCAAGATCTAACTCTGCTTCAGATGGATAGTTAAGACTCCTATAATAAAACAGGGAAAGGGAAATACAGAGGAAGAATATGTTCTAGAAGCATACCTATCCTTCTGTAGTATGGCTTCTTGAAAGGGCATTTGTGAAGTGTCAGCAGACCTTTCGAATATGATTATGTGGGTACAATTGATGGAGGGAGACGAGAATAATGAAAATACTATTTGTACCCAATTACTTGAAGTAGTACCCTTTCCTAAAATATTCATTTTCTCATCCCAAAAGAATAACAAGCAACTAGTGGATTAACTTACACTGTAAACAAAGAGGCACTCAGTAAAACAGAAGAAATGTTTGGTAAGTGTTATTTCTTATTGGCATATTAGTTAAAACATGTATTTAGGGGGAGCCTTTCAAAGTCACAAAACAATTCGACATTTAACGCCCAATGAAAGTTGCATTATGTCTTGTATCACATTACAGTGTATGCAGTAAAAATACTAATGTGAGATCTGAAAGAAAAATAAGCAGTTTTTAAAATGTTCTTGCCTGAATGATTGACTTGTTGGGCATTGCAACTTCAACTTTTTAATTGTAAAACTTAATCATTTTCTGTAATAAGTATTGAGAATAAGAAGTTTAATGGAGTGATGCTTTCAGTGTCACAGCCTTCTAATTATTGTGTCTGTTTCTCTTTCATCCTTAGAGTCTCAGATACCTAAAAGGAAACTTGTGACTGCAAGACTTTAATATTAATCAAAAGACTTTGAATTATTTCACTGTGTGCACTATAATTTACAAAAAACACTGACAAGTAGTCAACTGGGGTATGGATAGGTACAGAAATATACATCTTGCCTTTTCCATTTTGGAATTTTCATATATATTGATATTAGATGTTGAGCAAAGGTTGTTCAATTGAAATATTTTCATTACCAGGACTGAACTTTATCAGTACTGATGTTTACTGTGTTTCTTTTTAAACTAAATTTAAACATCTTTTTGGATACATATTTGAAGAAAAAAAATGCACAGAAACATATACTTTACATACTTTTTTAGTTTTGCTACAAGGAAAAGTTTTGTTTCAAATAGGTTATTTCATCAATGGTAAACTGTAACTGAGAACTAAAGACAACATTAAACATAATATTTAGACAAAAATGTTGCTGTTGTATCTGTTATGGCCATTGTTCTCTTGTATCATAGAATAAATGTCCTGTAACTTCCCAAAATGCTGCTGCTGTTTTATAACTTGATTTGTATTTATTTTAAACTGCAGCTGGCACTAGCAGATATTTAACTTCTGTATGAAATCTGCTTTAGCATTTAAAACTGAGTTTAAAGCAGTGTTTGCTGTTTCAGTTGTTAAAATATCAATACTTATTGTGAAATGCCTTGTTTGTTTGTAAATGAGGCTTTATAAATGCATTTTTGAGTGTTGCTTCTCTTAACTACTGTGTGTGATCTGTGTGTATACTTTAAAAATATGTATGTGTATTCTGGTACCACCACCTATTAAGGTGGTGTTTGTATTAGGGATATTTCTTGGTGTTCCATAAAAATCTGCCTAAATATGACTTAAAAGTAAGTTTTAGAAAAAAAAATCTGTTCATATGTACTCAGTAGAGACTTGCTACAGTTTCTGAGCTAAGTTACCCAAAGATTCTGGGCATGCTCCAGCCAGACCTAAGCAAAACTTTCCCTGCAGTTTTAGTTCTGGGCCGCTCTGGGCCACATTGGTTCTGTATTTAGGCATCAGAATGGAAAAGATGGAGACTTCTTTTCCTTGCTGTGCCTGTTAGTGTAAAGGAGAAAGATGCCTTATTTAAATTCAGAGGGACAAGAGAGAGGCCAGAAGTAGGGGGGTAGATTAGGACAAAAACCCTGGAATGTAACCAAGACCCTGAGTCTCTCACCATTCTTCTGTCATCAGTAAACATCTGTGGAACTCCCTGTCAAAGTGTCTCCTCAATCTCTAGAGCTGGTCCACAGAGATGATGACAACACTCCATTAGCTCAGTGAGTTACAACCTACCTGATGACTATTCTGGGTGTCAATATGATTGTTGGAGTAGGTTTTAAAAACCCAACAAATTTACAACCATCGTCTCCCTCCCCAAACATTAACGCTGTGCAAATACTCAAATTTGGGGGGAGGGGCACTGACCACCTTATTTCTGGCACTTCCTAACTTTTGATTCTTTGACATCACAATATTAACGTTGTGTGTGGGTGGGTGTGGTGAGTCTATACATGCATTTTTACTATATCTCTGCATCTAAAATTTCTTCTGCTACAGGTGTTGTGCATCAGCTGACTGCTATGCTTGAGTTAACTGCATGTCACCAATGGGTGAAAGTAGAGTCTGTAGTTTAAGAGGTTTTTCAAAATGAACATGATATATGTAAAAGTAATTGCATAAGCTCCCATGTATATAGCAAGTAACTACTGTGTAAAAGGTGTAAGATGTGTACATGGAAGTTACTATAGGATGGGGTACTAATCTCAACCTTTTTCTGAGGCCTTCTGAAAATGCTATCAAAACACAGCCACTCTTTTCCGGCATAAAAGCCAGGACAGTAAGGGGACAGTAAGCAGGGCAACCCATGCTACAAGGGAGACCCCTGAAAAGTTAAGTTGCTCAAACTTCAGCCCCACCACTGTGGCTGTGTCTACACTGGCACCCTTTTCCAGAAATGCTTAAAACGGAACAGTTTTCCGTTATAAGTATTTCCGGAAAAAGTGCGTCTACATTGGCCACGGACGCTTTTCCGGAAAAAAGCCCCGATCGTCATTTTCGGGATCGGGGCTTTTTTGGGGAAAAGACTTCTGTGCTGTCTACACTGGCCCTTTTCCGGAATAGTTTTTCCGGAAAAGGACTTTTGCCCGAACGGGAGCAGCATAGTTTTTCCGGAAAAACCCTGACAATTTTACAGATTGTCATTGCTTTTCCAGAAAAGCAAGCGGCCAGTGTAGACAGCTGGCAAGTTATTCCAGAAAAGCGACTGCTTTTCCGGAATAAGTGGCCCAGTGTAGACACAGCCTGTGAGTTTAACAGAGGCCCTGCTGGGCAGATAGGAGGTTGAAAAAAACTGCACTAGGATCAGACTGTGATTGTCAATAGAAAAATGGACCAGGGAAGGACCAGACCTTTCTGGTGTAAAGATAACGTATTTGGGCTGCTGCTAGGTAGGAAAGAGGCGCCCGTGTGCTGTCAGGTCGGTGTGCATCATGGAAGGATGGTGCAGAGATGCTTTGTAAGACCAGGGCTGTCCGGTATCCACCATTGCGAGAGCGAGGGGTGCAGGGCAGACCCGAACCTAATGAGCTCTCAGCTCCTCTGTGCGTTCCCCGGCCTGGCCCAGGCGCGCCCAGCGCTGTAAAGGCGGGTCGGGCAGGGCTGCCCCTCGGCGCGCAGAGCCCGCTGCTGGGGAGGGTAAAGCAATGCTCTGGTCTCGTGACCGGGTGGGGGCGGGGCGACACTGGCGCGAGGGAACCACGTGATGCGAGTGAGGCCTCGAGGGGGGCGGAGCAAGTCCGCCTCCCCCCCGCGCTGAGCTGGCTTCCGGAGCTGGGAGTGCGGCCTTTCGTCATTGCTACCGCGCCACTTCCGGCAGGGGCGGGGGGGGTTTCGGCCGCGCACTTCCGGTGCACGCGGGCGGTGGTGGTGCCGCGGCCGCGCGGATGGGCTCGCCCGTGGAGCTGGGGTTCGTGGAGCAGGCGGCCCCGTGGCGCCTGCGCAGCGCCCAGTTC